GCCTACCGTTTTGATGTTAGTTAAGCACTTATACTTTGAAGTTATTGTTAGTGTTGTTAGATTTTTTTTATATAATTTAACTTTCAGGTGATTAAATTACATGTACTTAATTTTGTACAATACTGATATTTTAGGCTGGATCTGTGATGGAAAGAAGAACAACATACAGACGCAAGGAAAAGAAGGTGACTCTAGAATCACAACAATCTGTTGTCATTCAGTCTGAGTTTGATACTGAAGATGTCCAACAAAGATCAGGGTCACAAGATCCTCAAGTTAGTCAAGAGTCAGATGACAGGAGGAGGAGGATGTCACCGAGCCAACTTGAAGTTTGGTATCTCTGAGACACAGGAGGAAGTTACTAAAGTGACAGAGTCTTCTTATATGTCCCTTGAAAGGGGCATTAACATTCTGTGCAATAAAGATTCTGATCCAGATATTGAAGAAGAGTGCTTTGACTTTCAAGATGAACTATTAAACTTTGATAAGTTAATGGAACTCAGAAGAGAATAAATATGAATGTAGAAATAGTTTTGACAAGAAAGTAAATGAAAAATTAAAGAAATGTGACAAGTTTTCTTTGTTTTTAGCCCACCATCATTAGATGGTGGGTTATTCAAATCGCCCTGCATCCGTGGTCTGTCGTCCGTCCGTCCGTCCGTCCGTCCGTAAACACTTTTTGTTACCGCTATTTCTGGAAAAGTACAGGATGGATCTTTCTCAAATTTCATATGCAGTTTCCCCTTGGTCCCTAGTTGTGCATTGTACCTTTTTTGGACTGATTCGAATTCAAGATGGCCGACAGGTGGCCATCTTGGATTTTGGAAGTAAAAGTTTGTTACCGCTATTTCTGGAAAAGTACTGGATGGATCTTTCTCAAATTTCATATGCAGTTTCCCCTTGGTCCCTAGTTGTGCATTGTACCTTTTTTGGACTGGTTCGAATTCAAGATGGCCGACAGGTGGCCATCTTGGATTTTGGAAGTAAAATCTTGTTACTGCTATATCTGAGGATGTACTGGATGGATCCTTCTGATATTTCATAGATATTGGTTTCCCTTGGTCCCTAGTTGTGCATTGTACCTTTTTGGGACTGATTTGAAATCAAGGTGGCCCACAGGCAGCCATCTTGGATGTCGACAGTAATACAGCACAAGCATATTGTCCATTATCCACCTGTAACTGACTGCTATCTAATAATACTTTGGGATCTTTTTCAAATGATATTTGCTAATAGGTGCTTAATAAAAATATCTTGTGCCATCATTGAGAACATTCAATGAAGACCAGTTCATGAACATTTACAACACCTGTAACAAACAAAAAAAAAAAAATAAACAAATCTTCAAGAACTGAAAACAGATCCCCAAATGGTGGGCGCCAAGATCCCTTTGGAATCTCTTGTTGTTTAATATCGTTCGCTCTGACAGATTTCGTTTTGGTCTGACAGTTTTTCAGGGTATGTCAAACCGAATGTCTGACACTTTTTTTAACTTTCGGGAAGTCTGCATATACATTTATATTGAATCCCTAAACGTTATATAAACAACATTTTATTGCTGGCTTGTCTGGCTGTTGAACCGCGCCTTTGTCAAAACTACTAACCACCTTTCTAAGTACTATGAAATCTGAGTGACAGTCTTATTGTAAGACTTTTTACTCGAGAAGTGGAATTAATAGTATGTGGAAATTGAAGAACTCCAAAGAGTTTTTGACCAGTCTTCAACATCCTCTTCTTCTATAAGAACATCTGATTTTTTCACCCTGTACACCATTATACCCGATTCTAAACTGAAGGAACGCCTTCTTTCTCTTGTTTCCACAAGAAAAGTGAACAGCAATATATGGTTGTGAACTACATGTATACAGAAGCATAATTTCCAATTCAAAGAAGAAATATATAGAATATACGGAGGACAAAATGATAAAAATGACTGAGTTTCTGGTTGACAGTATCTTCGTCTAGTTTGGTGTTAAGATCTAAGACTATTGGCATACCTATGGGAACTAATGTGCCAACTTTTCTTTTGTTTTCATATGAGGCTGAATTTATTGAAGAGCTTATCAAAACAGGTTACAAACACCTTGCAATAATGTTTAATATCTTTTTCAGGTATAGTTGAAACTTGTCTCGAAATCACTTGAGTCGAAATTTTGTTTGAGTCGAAATACATTTAGCTTGGTTGCGTGCATCTTCAGGAATGATAAAAACAAAACCGTCAAACTAGTACAAACTTTTTGACGAAATCTGATCCCAACAATTCTGGAAGATACTAATTTTGAGCTTGTGAACTAAAGGACTGTGATTTGTCAGATTTAATATTTCAACAAAGTGCTAAAAGTATTTTACGCGGATAGAGACTATATCTGTGAATGTGAGGCATTTGTCATACGTTTAATTATTCGTACATTGTTTCTTGAAGCATATCAAAAGCAAATTATTCCATGAAATATATGATGTATATGTGCTTGGTCAGTGCGGGACGGAACAACATGAGTACAAGAGCATTTGATTGGAGTCGTTATTACATGTTTTGCTGTTTGAATGAAAGAACAATAAAAGGAGAGAGTAAGATAAATTGATCTGTTCATTTACTGCCCTTTCAAATGTCAAATTAAACTACGCTGTTTGCTTGATATCATGAACCTTATTTATACGCTTCCTTTGAGTCAAAATACTTTCCATGGTCCTTTGAATTTCGAGATTATGAGTTTTGACTGTATATTAATGGCCTGTCAAATTTAAATAACAAGAAATTTATTGACCTCATCCATTATATATATCCATCTGAATTTGAAATCAAAGATGTGGCACACTCCTCTACATCAGCTGCTTATCTAGATCTTTTTGTACAAAGAAACCAACATGGACAACTTTCCACTAAGCTGTATGATGAACGTGATGATTTCAATTTCCCTGTTGTGAATTTTCCATTTCTGGACAACAATATCCATACATCTCCCACCTATGGTATTTACATGTTACAGTTGATTCCATATTCAAGGGCCTGTTCCCATTATCACGATTTTCATGGAAGGAACTGTCACCTGACTGACAAACTGGGAACACAGGGTTTCAAAACATGCAGGTTGATGAAAAAAATGGGGGAGTTTTATGGTTGCCATAGTGATCTCATTGAGAAATATTTTATTTCTTTGTGTGACATGAAGCTGGACATATTTGGTACTTGTTAGTTTGCCTGTTGGTTCTGTTGTTGTATACCTTGTTCTCATTTGAGAATGTGACATTGCTTACTTGGATTGACCAAGGTTTACATGGTGGGTGTCGTCGAAGAAGCAGAGGATGCTTACTCTTCTGGAACACCTGGTCATATTCTCCTTGTACTTTTTCAGGAGTCTCTGTGTAAATTTTACTTTTGTTCATATTTTGCTTTAGTTTAATGGAATTTGTGTTTGGATTATGATTATGATGCCATGTTGGTATTTTCTTTGTTTTTGAAGGCTGGGGGAGGCGGGGGGTCAAATGTTACTGTTTAGCACTTTCAGTGTTTTATTCTTGATAACCAAAAGGCTCGGAGTGATGATATTGGGCTAGTAGCTTGCTGGGGATTACTGGGATTTAGGGCTTTATTCAGATAATTACCTTGATCCACTTTCACTGGATTGTATGGTAAAATGTTTTCAAATGAGCAAAAGACCCAAGATTTTGTCATTTCAAAAAGTAACAGAGAGAAAAGAATTCAGGGTTGAATAAAGAAAGTTTCTTTATTGTCCTTGTCCAGATACGTCTTTTCTTCATTAACTCCTGAAGAATTGAGTAATTACTACATAGCCATTGGCCTCTTGTTTCACATATTACACATGTATAAAAGATATTGTTGGTGATCGACTAACTAAACATGCTGCTACCTGATTTGATCTTTATAAACCATGATAATATTTACTTGCAGCCTCAGTGTCTGAGACCTAGAAAAATCTTAACAAATAGAGAAAAACGTGTTTCTGCTGTTTTAGAGAAACTCATCTATGTGATCAAGGTTCTATTAATTAAATCAAAGCATGCTCCACTGTCTGGGTGATAGAGGTTGTAACACTACAAGCTGAAGTGAAATCTCTTTATTCATGAAGATGAAAGCCATCAGCTTCATTTTGAATCTACCTGAAAAGAAACCTTTGTGAGATGTCGGCAATTTTCAAAATGTGGCTTTTTTGCCAATTTTACTTTTGACATGGTAGAGCCCTCATGCTAGAGATCCAGGTTCCTGTCTGGACAATGGGCAGGAATTTGCATGTGGTCAAAATATAGAACAATCTTCCGGAGTATATTGTATCTGCACCAACAGTTAACTCTTTCAAAAATAGATTAGATGATCTCTGGGCAAATCAAGAACTGGTATATAATTATAAAGCAGAAATTCTGTAGTTCCTGGATCTGATGTCTCAAATGACAATAATTATAAACATTATCATTGTATCACCGAGACCAGTATAGAGGATTGTAACGATCCTGCACTGGTAATAAACTAAACTAAACTAAGGAATGTGTTTTATTTCTTCTTTCACTCTTCATTAATCTACACATACAATGTTAATTGTATAAGAACAGAAGCATATCCCAAACCAAACAACTTTTAAACAGATTTCTCTACACTGGCATTAAGGACAAACTGATTAATCAACACTTCATTGTATTTGAATAAAAATGCAACATCAGTTTAAGGAGTGGACACAACTGTCAATTTAACAAAATTAAAAATTTACATTACTGATTGAAATGTGTTATCAGAATAGTTAGTTTAAACAGTAGATAGCACATGCAAGGTCTTAGGTAGAATATATGAAAGAAGTAAACAGGTTTTGGGTCAGTTGTCTGACTAGATCAGTTTTTTCTTAGAATCCTATTTTGTCCTAAGCCCCCTCCCCAATCCTCCACAACCACCAATATACCTATATACCTATATCATTTGATAAATAGTTACAAATATTTACCTTGGTTTCAAATAGATTTGTAGTTTTGTTTCATGTATCAATCTTTTTTAGTGCATGAGGGCGGTGTGGCCGGAGTATCAAGACCGATGTACAATGGCTTAAAAGATGCATTCCTACAGATCGTTCGTAAAGACGGGGTCACTGGAATGTATAGAGGAGTGGTACCAAATGTTTGGGGAGCTGGAACGGCCTGGGGGCTCTGCTTCTTTTCGTAAGTGAACTGATATCTTATTTGATACAACTCATGAGTTTATCAGTAGGGGCTTGGAAGTGCCATATTAATGTAGCTACTGTAAAAATGGAAGTATTTCAATTTCTTAAAAAATGAATGTCCTGTTGAAAGATAGGTACCTCAATTTCTTAATTATTAATATTCTCTGAATGTCTTATTAAATGATACATAACTAAGTATACGTAATGTAGTTGAGATACATACCGTAACTCAGTTTGATAAATGAGTTCAGGTAATAGAGCCAACGCCGTTCATTAAAGTTGGGTGGTTTGTAGGTTCCTCCACTCCCCAGCTGGATACCTCAGGTATGCAGGGTGATTGAGCAAGAGAGAAAATCCGAATATAAGTATCAATCACAACAGTCTGCAGAGTGGTTGTTCTTAATATTTATTATAACTGACGGTATTAAATAATAAATATAAAGAACAACCACTCTGCAGACTGTTGTGATTGATACTTATATTCGGTTTGATAAATATGCCAAAACAGTTTTTATACTCCGCCAGATGCGATCGTATATTGGCGTCATCTTCTCGTTGATTTTTGTAAGATTTATGCCATTTTCAACTTTGTACGTCCATTTCTTGTGAGCGCAACTCCTCCTAAACTAGTCCTCAGATTTTCATGAAACTTGCTCAATGTCACTACTACAATGGGTAAATGTGCATAAAGGGGCAATTTTTTGGTTCGTTGATTTTCGTAAGATTTATGCCATTTTATCTTGATCTTAAATTTTGTGGCAGCGTATATTGTGTCCACGGCACTCTTGTTTAATAAGTATTAAACAGAGTGATGATCATACATTTACAGTTACAACAGCATTAAGACTTGGATGCAGGATGGTGACACTCAAGTGAACCTTGGTCCAGCTAAACATATGCTGGCTGCATTTGAAGCAGGTATGTATAATGAAAAGTCCCAGATTTTGGTTGCCTTTTGAAACATGTCAAACCAAGTAGTTTAATGTAGGTATATGGTATTATATGTATAAGGTATAACAGGTGGAGTAGTACATCCACATACGAGTCGGGATTTCTGTGTTCAAATATTGTGATATTACTCATAAAATTTATGGAAATCTAAATTTTACATTATGGGATCCATTCTTTTAAGAAATAAGATTCAAATGAACTCATGAAAATAAATTGTAGATTAACCAATGCCCATATTAGTGACTTATCTCAACAAGTCAAAGGAATATTGTATACTTGTTTAATATCCTTGCAAATGTTACCTAGTTGTCACAGTATGAAATTCGTTTTGGGGGTGGGATTTAATTTTTACATATATCTATATTGGTGTCTTATGTTTACTATAACTAAAAATGCTTTGATTCATTCTAAATTTTCCAGTGAATATTTATCAGATATCAGATTCTGGTTCACACTTACCCTTAAGTATCATAACATCATGTTCTACACCTGATCAGATTCTGGTTCACACTTACCCTTAAGTATCATAACATCATGTTCTATACCTGATCAGATTCTGGTTCACACTTACCCTATAGTATCATAACATCATGTTCTACACCTGATCAGATTCTGGTTCACACTTACCCTATAGTATCATAACATCATGTTCTATACCTGATCAGATTCTGGTTCACAACCCTATAGGACTATAATATCATGTTCTACACCTGATCAGATTCTGGTTCACACTTACCCTATAGTATCATAACATCATGTTCTATACCTGATCAGATTCTGGTCCACAACCCTATAGGATCATAATATCATGTTCTACACCTGATCAGATTCTGGTTCACACTTACCCTATAGTATCATAACATCATGTTCTACACCTGATCAGATTCTGGTTCACACTTACCCTATAGTATCATAATATCATGTTCTACATCTGATCAGATTCTGGTTCTCTCATACTCTATAGTATCATAACATCATGTTCTATACCTGATCAGATTCTGGTTCACACTTACCCTATGGTATCATAACATCATGTTCTACACCTGATCAGATTCTGGTTCACACTTACCCTATATCATCATAACATCATGTTCTACACCTGATCAGATTCTGGTTCACACTTACCCTATAGTATCATAATATCATGTTCTACATCTGATCAGATTCTGGTTCACACTTACCCTATAGTATCATAACATCATGTTCTATACCTGATCAGATTCTGGTTCACACTTACCCTATAGTATCATAACATCATGTTCTACACCTGATCAGATTCTGGTTCACACTTACCCTATAGTATCATAATATCATGTTCTACACCTGATCAGATTCTGGTTCACACTTACCCTATAGTATCATAACATCATGTTCTACACCTGATCAGATTCTGGTTCACAACCCTATAGTATCATAACATCATGTTCTACATCTGATCAGATTCTGGTTCATACTTACCCTATAGTATCATAACATCATGTTCTATACCCGATCAGATTCTGGTTCACACCTATCCTATAGTATCATAACATCATGTTCTACACCTGATCAGATTCTGGTTCACTCTTATCCTATAGTATCATAACATCATGTTCTATACCCGATCAGATTCTGGTTCACACTTATCCTATAGTATTATAACATCATGTTCTACACCTGATCAGATTCTGGTTCACACTTACCCATAGTATCATAACGTTAGATTCTGGTTTGAACAGAAATAAGGGAAATTCATACCTTTCAGAATTTTGTAGATTTTTAATCAATGATTGATTGTCATGTCTTCAATGGTGTCTATAATTTATATATACAGGCTTCATGACACTGACCCTCACAAATCCAATCTGGGTTGTCAAGACGAGGATATGTCTTCAGTACGATCAGCAGGTACCATCCAGTAAAAACTATAAGGGCATGGCTGATGCTCTGGTCAGAATATTTCAGATGGAGGGATTCCGGGGTCTTTATAGGGTAGGTATACAGTGAGTGATGTGTCTTTCCTTGACAGAGAATATGTATCTTTGGTAAATACAAATGCAGCTGCATTATCAGCTAGAAATTCTTGTAAAGTTATTGATTTATTGATTTTGTAGATTGATTATTGATCTGTCTAAGCTTTTTTTTCCAGAGGTCAGGAGTTTGATACCTACTAGTGGTATTGAGATAGATAATGACCTGACTTTGTGTAATCATCTCTACAGGATGAGTTATCTAGAGAGATCTATGGATGTGTATCTAACTCTGTCACACTTTGTGTAATTATCTCTACAGGATGAGATATCTAGAGAGATCTGTGCATGTGTATCTAACTCTGTCACACTTTGTGTAATTATCTCTACATGATGAGATATCTAGAGTGATCTCAGGACGTGTTTGTAACTCTGTTACACTTTGTGTAATTATCTCTACATGATGAGATATCTAGACAGATATGTGGACGTGTATGTAACTCTGTCACACTTTGTGTAATTATCTCTACATGCTGGGATATCTAGAGAGATCTGTGGACGTGTATCTAACTCTGTCACACTTTGTGTAATTATCTCTACATGCTGAGATATCTAGACAGATATGTGGACGTGTATGTAACTCTGTCACACTTTGTGTAATCATCTCTACATGCTGGGATATCTAGAGAGATCTGTGGACGTGTATCTAACTCTGTCACACTTTGTGTAATTATCTCTACATGCTGGGATATCTAGAGAGATCTGTGGACGTGTATCTAACTCTGTCACATTTTGTGTAATTATCTCTACATGATGAGATATCTAGAGAGATCTGTGGATGTGTATCTAACTCTGTCACACTTTGTGTAATTATCTCTACATGATGATATATCTAGAGAGATCTGTGGATGTGTATCTAACTCTGTCACACTTTGTGTAATTATCTCTACATGATGATATATCTAGAGAGATCTGTGGATGTGTATCTAACTCTGTCACACTTTGTGTAATTATCTCTACATGATGATATATCTAGAGAGATCTGTGGATGTGTATCTAACTCTGTCACACTTTGTGTAATTATCTCTACATGATGATATATCTAGAGAGATCTGTGGATGTGTGTCTAACTCTGTCACACTTTGTGTAATTATCTCTACAGTATGAGATGTCTGTGGATGTGTTTGTAACTCTGTCACACTTTGTGTAATTATCTCTACATGCTGAGATATCTAGAGAGATCTGTGGACGTGTATCTAACTCTGTCACACTTTGTGTAACTATCTCTACATGATGATATATCCAGAGAGATCTGTGGATGTGTATCTAACTCTGTCACACTTTGTGTAATTATCTCTACATGATGATATATCTAGAGAGATCTGTGGATGTGTATCTAACTCTGTCACACTTTGTGTAATTATCTCTACATGATGATATATCTAGAGAGATCTGTGGATGTGTATCTAACTCTGTCACACTTTGTGTAATTATCTCTACATGATGATATATCTAGAGAGATCTGTGGATGTGTATCTAACTCTGTCACACTTTGTGTAATTATCTCTACATGATGATATATCTAGAGAGATCTGTGGATGTGTATCTAACTCTGTCACACTTTGTGTAATTATCTCTACAGTATGAGATGTCTGTGGACGTGTTTGTAACTCTGTCACACTTTGTGTAAATATCTGTACATGCTGAGATATCTAGAGAGATCTGTGTACGTATTTGTATCTCTGTCACACTTTGTGTAATCATCTCTACAGGACGAGTTATCTAGAGAGATCTGTAGACGTGTATCTAACTCTGTCACACTTTGTGTAATTATCTCTACATGATGAGATATCTAGAGAGATCTGTGGACGTGTATCTAACTCTGTCACACTTTGTGTAATTATCTCTACATGATGATATATTTAGAGAGATCTGTGGATGTGTATCTAACTCTATCACACTTTGTGTAATTATCTCTACAGTATGAGATGTCTGTGGACGTGTTTGTAACTCTGTCACACTTTGTGTAATCATCTCTACAGGACGAGTTATCTAGAGAGATCTGTAGACGTGTATCTAACTCTGTCACACTTTGTGTAATTATCTCTACATGATGAGATATCTAGAGAGATCTGTGGACGTGTATCTAACTCTGTCACACTTTGTGTAATTATCTCTACATGATGATATATTTAGAGAGATCTGTGGATGTGTATCTAACTCTATCACACTTTGTGTAATTATCTCTACAGTATGAGATGTCTGTGGACGTGTTTGTAACTCTGTCACACTTTGTGTAATCATCTCTACAGGACGAGTTATCTAGAGAGATCTGTAGACGTGTATCTAACTCTGTCACACTTTGTGTGATTAGCTCTACATGATGATATATCTAGTGAGATCTGTGGACGGGTTTGTCTATGAGTTATCTAGAGAGATCTGTGGACGTGTTTCTAACTCTGTCACACTTTGTGTAATTATCTCTACATGATGATATAACTAGAGAGATTTGTGGACATGTTTGTAACTCTGTCACACTTTGTGTAATTATCTCTACATGCTGAGATATCTAGAGAGATCTGTGGACGTGTTTGTAACTCTGTCACACTTTGTGTAATTATCTCTACATGATGAGATATAACTCTGTCACACTTTGTGTAATTATCTCTACATGCTGAGATATCTAGAGAGATCTATAGACGTGTTTGTAACTCTGTCACACTTTGTGTAATTATCTCTACATGCTGAGATATCTAGAGAGATCTGTGGACATGTATCTAACTCTGTCACACTTTGTGTAATTATCTCTACATGCTGAGATATCTAGAGAGATCTGTGGACGTGTATCTAACTCTGTCACACTTTGTGTAATTATCTCTACATGCTGTGATATCTAGAGAGATCTGTGGACGTGTTTGTAACTCTGTCACACTTTGTGGATTTGTTGATAATATGAACTCATAGATAGTACACTGAAAATCAGTGAAAATAAATCTCCCAGAAATGATAATGATATTACAGTAATTAAGGCTTCTTGATTCATAACCTCTGTTTTGTTAACTGTAAAACGATATACTTTCTATTTTGGAGGGGGATTTATTTTAGGTTTTTGTACTTTTATTGATCATTTTTTCTTTAAACACATCATTTGGTGGATGAATATACCTCAATCAGTGTACTTAAACTAATTTTTAGAGTTCATTGACATGTGGTTTGTGAAGAGTACAGTTGAAATCAACAAAAATGAATCTACGAGGAAAATGAATGGTTTGACAATAAGGTATTTTTTGTCAGGGTTTCTTGCCTGGAGTTTTTGGAATATCACAGTATGCTGTGCAATTTATGGCTTACGAGGAAATGAAATCCCGCTACAATATCTACCAAGGTTGTAATGCTGATTACCGTTTGGTAAGTAGAACAGTTTTAATTGTTTGTAGAAATATAATGATGATGATGATACATAAGATATATCTGACGTACCTAGATATTGTGTAAATGGCAAGATTTATCTGTATTCAGCCTGATGTCATACATGTCTCACAAATTACTGGACAGATCTATGTCATATTTTCTCATTTTCAGTTTTCCTATTGTGAATTTTCCATTTCTGGATAACAATATCCCTACATCTCCAACCTATGGTATTTACTTGTCAAAGCTGATTCAATATTCAAGGGCCTGAACCCATTATCATGGTTTTCACGGAAGAAACTGTCACCTGACTGACAAACTTGGAACACAGGGGTTCAAAAGATGCAGGTTGATGAAAAAAATGGGGGAGTTTTATGGTTGCCATAGTGATCTCATTGAGAAATATTTTACTTCTTTGTGTGACATGAAGCTGGATATATTTGGTACTTGTTAGTTTGCTTGTTGGTTCTGTTTCACAAATTTTGTAAACAGATTTGCCTGAAACTTTCAATAAGACAAAGTTCCATGACAGATACCAAAATCTCTCAAGTAAAGTGAGGATTTATCATTGTTGAAAATGGGTGTGCTCACCTGACCTGAGATTAAGACCTTAGAAGCTTAATACTCCCTACTGATGACAGTTTATAAGGAAACAGATCAGTCTTAGCTGACATGCTTATGTTCTTAGATAAGACAATGTACCCTTAGTGCTCTGGATTGCATGTATTGGGCCTCTGGTATGTTGTTCAATGAGGTAACCTACAACAACTACAAGGAGACCTTGCCCTAAATGACTGTTCATGGAGAAATATACCCAGCAAATCTCATTGGCAGTGTGGTAGTTTGAGATGTAGGATCTTACAGTTAACTTAGTATAGAATTTATTAAACAAGCTTAAACAAGCATTTAGGCATGTGACTAGTAGAGTTTTTGAAAGTTTCATCAGTTCCAAATTACACTGGCACCAGTATAAAATTCTATTTATCATATTACTCAGATTTCTGAAATATAAACTTTTAAACCAATTTTCTTATAAGACATCATGACTCAGACTTTATGATTTCACTGCGGAGACGATCATATCATCAAGACGTGGCTTATTGATAATGTCAAAATGATGTCATGACACGTGACTGACATGGTCGTATGACATGACACAACTGCCTGACATGGTCGTATGACATGATACATGTGCCTGACATTGTCGTATGACATGATACAACTGCCTGACATGGTCGTATGACATGACACAACTGCCTGACATGGTCGTATGACATGACACAACTGCCTGACATGATCGTATGACATGACACAACTGCCTGACAGGGTCGAATGACATGACACAACAGAACAGTTATGCGGTGAAATGATATATCATTGTTACATTATCTTTTGTAGAAATCACTGGAATATATCGTGTTTGCGGCGTTATCAAAAATTATAGCTGCCAGTACAACATATCCTTACCAAGTGATACGATCAAGACTGCAAGACCAGCATAGAGATTACGGTGGAATCCTTGATATCATCAGTCAGATCTTTCGGTAAGTGTATCACAGTCTGATTAGCACTATTTTAGGAATAGATATATTTTGAATTAAGGACATCGGGACAAATTTTCATATGGTATTCTCACCCAAAAATTATCATTACAGAAAGAGATATATTATGGATTAAGGACGTTGGGACAAATTTTGTAATGTGGACACGGAAAATTTTCCATCAGGTACTCTGGCTTAAAACATTACAGGAATAGAAATATTGGGCTTTGTGGTATATAAACACCACTGCCAACAATATGATGTTTTTCCCTGTGGGACATTGTCGGGTTATTTTATAAGGATTGCTTTAACTGCATGCCGTGTTTTCCTACATACACATGTACTCATCATCTGAATCCAGCCAATAGGAAAATGTTTGGAGTTTTTCATATACCTCTACATTTATATTGTCTTTTGCCAAATTGTTATTTTTCTCAGCGTCTCCAAGTTTTCACCAGTTTAAGCCTTAAGCATAACTGACAAGTTCTAGAGGGAAGTACAATGTAATAGCTGTATGATGCAGATGGATTCATTATTTGGCCCAACTATATCTAATTCTTAATTTGTAGTAAAAGGTACTAATCACTTGTGTGTCTTTTGTACAATCTTTGACCCTACTGTATCTAATTCTTAATTTGTATTAAAAGGTACTATTCACCAGTGTGTTTACATGTACCAGTGTAAACTGTGTGCATGTTGAAACTATGACAAGGTGGAAATTTGCTAAGAACAGATCCAACTAGAGATGTCGGAAATTAAGAATTTTAGAACTGTTTCCTCGGTAACATTGATGCTTTAATTGTTACCTTATTGATGTTAGAGATACATACAGTGCATAATTAATTACTCAGAAAATCTTTTTACAGTGAATCGAAATGCAGGATATGTGTAGCATGCCTTTATACATAGATACTGTTTGGTGGACAATGTGCCAATGCCTTTCACCTAAGTGGGTTTTCATTCCTAGATCGCACATGAAAATGTATGGGGTCACCTGCTCAACCATATAGGTTTCCCTGGGTACTCTTTCTACATTTACAACATTTCCGAGCTTCAGTCCAAGTCAGCAAGAGTAGTATAAGCTAATAGCAGGTTTTCTACTACTTTAACCTGTCATTTTCCTTTTTACACGCCACCGGAGGCCGTCGTATATTGGCGTCATCTTCTTCGTCTGCCCGTCCGTAAGTCTGTCCGTACATCTGTCTGTACGTCCATTTCCTGTGAACGCAACTCCTCCTAAAACAATCATCAGATTTTCACGAAACTTGCTCAATGTCACTACTACAATGGGTAGATGTGCATGAAGGGGCAATTTTTTGGTTCTTTGATTTTTGTAAGATTTATGCCATTTTATCCTGATCTTTATATTTTGTGGCGGCGTATATTGATTATGTAGCCACCAGACTTTCACAATTATGTAGCCTCCAAAATTTCATGATTATGTAGCCACCAAACTTTCACGATTATGAAGCCACCAAAATTTCATGATTATGTAGCCACCAAACTTTTACGATTATGTAGCTACCAAACTTTCATGATTATGTAGCCACCAAACTTTCATGATATTGTAGCCACCAAACTTTCATGATTATGTAGCCACCAAACTTTCATGATATTGTAGCCACCAAACTTTCATGATTATGTAGCCACCAAAATTTCACGATTATGTAGCCACCAAACTTTCATGATTATGAAGCCAGCAAGCTTTCACGATTATGAAGCCACCTAAAATTCACGATTATGTAGCCACCAAAATTTCACGATTATGTAGCCACCAAACTTTCATGAATATGTAGCCACCAAACTTTCATGATTATGTAGCCACCAAAATTTCACGATTATGTAGCCACCAAACTTTCACGATTATGTAAAATTTACAATCTGTTTTCTGATTAATATTTGTTCCTGGTGAATTACCAGAGGCTTGGACATTACATATTGTAAACAGTTTTGATGGTAGTTCCTTCTGTCAGTCTGTGTTGTAAGTAGTCATAAATTTAGAAAAGTAACAAATTAAACATTTGTAAACATCTAAAACTTCAGAGTCTTGTACATATGTATATCAGTACACTACAGGACAGTTCGTGATAAAAACTATTGAGAAAAAAGTTGAATTACAGTCAAACTTCAATGTTTGCAGTTCAATGGACTACCAAAAAAACTTTGATATATCTAGACTTTGAAACATTTGTTTTGGGTTATGTTGACGTTTTCATGTTCATTGCTATACATGGTTGAAGACATGATATTTCTACCTGAACGAATACAACAAATATGAAAAAATACAAGATTAAATCAAAAGATTGTTTTTATCTTACAAGAAAAATGTCATTCATGAAAAAAAGCATAACTTTAAACAAAAATTAACGAGAAATTGATAATTCATGCTTACGTTTCCATTTGTCCCTTCATGTTTCACAGTGTATGTATTTTACAGATCAATTTTAAATGAAACAACACACAGAATTTAAGTGGTCTTTATTTGTTATAATTCCAACACTGATACATAAACATTCTAAGCAGAATTTAAAAGAAAATATCATAATGTATTCTATCCAGAAACAACAGCATCAACATCGCACATCTTCCGTCATAGAAATTATTTAAAAATTATAAAATTGTTTGCTGATGTTCTGACTATGGCTAGTATCCATTAATTGGACAATGTTGACAGATAAATCACCATCTTTCTCATGCTTGTATACTTTAAACTGGAATGTGATGCTTTGGGAATGAGTGAAATCATTATACAAGTGATAGGATTTCCTCTGATTGTTTACAAAATTCTGTAAGTTAGACCTAAGTAAATGTCATTACCACAATGGTGTCAGTGGACATCAGACTACAGCCATTATCTTTGATTAAAGATCATGGCTTGTAAGTAAGCATATAATCTTAAATCTGTGTCCAGTCATTAATTTACCCTGTAACACAGAGCTAGTGATAGCAGACTATCGTGTAGAATGTCATGTAGCACTCTCCGTGATCCCGTTGTCAGGTAGCACTCTCCGTGATCCCGTTGTCAGGTAGCACTCTCCGTGATCCCGTTGTCAGGTAGCACTCTCCGTGATCCCGTTGTCAGGTAGCACTCTCAGTGATCCCGTTGTCAGGTAGCACTCTCGTTAATCCCGTTGTCAGGTAGCACTCTCCGCTAACATATGTGAGATGTTGCAGTGGGGCGAAAGTATCTGTACAATACAGGAAAATAATTGTTGTCATATATCTTCCATCTACCATTACAATATACCATCTACCAGTACTGTTACCATCTACCAGTACAATATACTATCTACCAATACAATATACCATCTACCAGTACTGTTACCATCTACCAGTACTGTTACCATCTACCAGTACAATATACCATCTACCAGTACAATATACCATCTACCAGTACTGTTACCATCTACCAGGACTGTTACCATCTACCATTACAATATACCATCTACCAGGACTGTTACCATCTACCATTACAATATACCATCTACCAGTACTGTTACCATCTACCAGTACAATATACCATCTACCAGTACTGTTACCATCTACCAGTACTGTTATCATCTACCATGACTGTTACCATCTACCAGTACAATATACCATCTACCAGTACTGTTACCATCTACCAGTACAATATACTATCTACCAATACAATATACCATCTACCAGTACTGTTACCATCTACCAGTACTGTTACCATCTACCAGTACTGTTACCATCTACCAGTACAATATACCATCTACCAGTACAATATACCATCTACCAGTACTGTTACCATCTACCAGGACTGTTACCATCTACCATTACAATATACCATCTACCAGGACTGTTACCATCTACCATTACAATATACCATCTACCAGTACTGTTACCATCTACCAGTACAATATACCATCTACCAGTACAATATACCATCTACCAGTACTGTTACCATCTACCAGTACAATGTACCATCTACCAGTACTGTTACCATCTACCAGTACAATGTACCATCTACCAGGACTGTTACCATCTACCAGGACTGTTACCATCTACCAGTACAATATACCATCTACCAATACTGTTACCATCTACCAGTACAATATACCATCTCTACCATTACAATACCATACCATACTACCATCTACAATACAATATACCATCTAACAGTACTGTTACCATCTACCATTACAATATACCATCTACCAATACAATATACCATCTACCAGTACAATATACCATCTACCAGGACTGTTACCATCTACCAGTACAATATACCATCTACCATTACAATATATCTACCATACAATATACCATCTACAGTACTGTTACCATCTACCAATACAATATACCATCTACCAATACTGTTACCATCTACCATTACAATATACCATCTACCAATACAATATACCATCTAACAGTACTGTTACCATCTACCATTACAATATACCATCTACCAATACAATATACCATCTACCAGTACAATATACCATCTACCAGGACTGTTACCATCTACCAGTACAATATACCATCTACCATTACAATATACCATCTACCAGTACAATATACCATCTACCAGTACTGTTACCATCTACCAATACAATATACCATCTACCAGTACTGTTACCATCTACCAGGACTGTTACCATCTACCAGTACAATATACCATCTACCAGTACTGTTACCATCTACCAGTACAATGTACCATCTACCAGTACAATATACCATCTACCAGTACTGTTACCATCTACCAGTACTGTTACCATCTACCAATACTGTTACCATCTACCAGTACAATATACCATCTACCAGTACAATATACCATCTACCAGTACTGTTACCATCTACCAGGACTGTTACCATCTACCATTACAATATACCATCTACCAGGACTGTTACCATCTACCATTACAATATACCATCTACCAGTACTGTTACCATCTACCAGTACAATATACCATCTACCAGTACTGTTACCATTTACCAGTACTGTTACCATCTACCAGTACTGTTACCATCTACCAGGACTGTTACCATCTACCAATACAATATACCATCTACCAATACTGTTACCATCTACCAGTGGCCATCTTGGATTTTAACAGTTTTAGTTCATTGCAAATTTTTGAAAATCTGGAATGGACTTGACTACCGATGTAACTTTGTGTTTATTCTGTGTTGCATGATTTGGTTACGCCTCAGTGACTCTTGCTTTCTATCCAGGGACCTCTGGTAACCTCTACAGGACAGGTGTACACTGATCACTGTATAGGACACTGAGCCCCACCACTCTATGGTACTGGATAGCTAACAAAGACCGAGTACAGAATACTTTTTGACACTTATCACATGTGTTCTGTGTAGCATTGTCCACCGTTCGTAAACTTTCATTCAAATGAATTCTTCTCAAAAACCAAAAGTCCCAGGGTTCTGATATTTGTCCTGTAGCATGATTGATATAGGGCTACAAAAGTTTTTAGGCTCACAGGTATCAAATATGATCAAAGTTAGTAAGAAATATCAAAATACTACACATGTCCATACATGGTAGTTTAATTGCATGCTTATTTTATCTGACTCTAGGGACACAAGGGTTGGGGCTAGAAGATACCATGCTTATTATATCTGACTGACTCTAGGAACACAAGGGTTAGGGCTAGAAGATACCATGCTTATTATATCTGACTGACTCTAGGAACACAAGGGTTGGGGCTAGAAGATACCATGCTTATCATATCTGACTGACTCTAGGAACACAAGGATTGGGGCTAGAAGATACCATCCTTATTTTATCTGACTGACTCTAGGAACACAAGGGTTGGGGCTAGAAGATACCATCCTTATTTTATCTGACTGATGCTTTGGAAATAAAGGATGGGGTTAAAAGGTGTCAAATGAATTCCAATTATCAAATTTATCAGTAATTTGCTTCAGTTCCATGCATATGGATCCTTGGGCAGAGAGGTGAGGTGAAGTAAAAACAAACCTTTGTATTTCTTCTTCGTTTGTATAAACAAATAAACAAATTTTAAACAGATTTAGTTTAGAGTAGATGAAGGGAATTTCATCTTGCCCCAATACCAGAAGTAGATCATGGATGGGGTCGAATAGGGGAAAAGGGACAAGGTCAATGGAAGGATTAGGGGTTAACCTTTGATATCCTTTTCCTTTAATACAGATGAAATAATTGTAACCAAACCAAATGAGTAAGAAGAAGAGGCCGTAGTATAAAGCCTCTAATTTCTGGTGGTTTGATGTATTCTTAAACAGGTTTTCTGCACTGTTGTGTTTTTATCGTAAATGTGAATATATTTTAGTGATACATATGTATAGTTTAAAAATTTATTTTTGATAGTATGAGATAAGATAAGACTTCTTACATGGAACACATTTCACACTTGTTAAACTGTCATTGAAATAAAGGTTTCTTATGTTGACATTAGTTGTTTTTGTATGTCTGATGATTAGGAGATATCAACATGCTTTATCTATTCTTGGTTGAACAATACCCTTTCACACTTTTTAACTTATCTTATTTATCCATTTTTGGTCTGTCCAGCTTCAATTTTTTCCTTTAAATGACTTTTCAAGCAAGATGAATGTGGCTGGCATGTTTCTGGGATAAAGTCTGACAAAGGTAGCAGAAAGAAATGATCCATATTGAAGGTCACAGGATTCAAATTTAAAAAACCTCTAAATGTGATACATGGCTGGTATTTTCATGGGATGATGTCTTACAAATTAGGTACCAAAAGAAATGACCTTGACACTTTTTCAAGGTCACACAAGTTAAGTTTGTAAATTCTTTCCAACAGCTTCTTCTAATTAACCAAATGCCTAGAATCATGATAGTTGGCTGATAGGTTCTCTGGACCAAGTTCATAAGAATTTCTAAAAGAAATTTCCTAAAACTGTATTCAAGGTCACAGAGGTCAATTTTGTTTAAAACAGTCAGATATGTAATGATTAACCTAAAAGGCCTAGAGTCATGTCACATATATGTGGTTAGTAAGCTCCTGGGAGAAAGCTTAACAAATTTTGTGAAATAAAATTACTTTGCCTATATTAAAGGTCAAATTTGTTAAAAGATAACTTCTCATAAACTTTGTGAATTTGCAAATAAAAAAATGTATCTGGAATTTAAGGTTTTGTAGGGCATAAAAGTAATGTGGTGAAATTGTCTTACTTTTCCACAAGTTACATGTTCTTTGTTGTGGACTTTTTTGGGGGTTTTTTTGGGTTTTTTTTGGGGTTTTTTTTTCAGCATTGAAATCTCGTCTGAATATTTGCAGTGTCAGTTTTCAACACATCATCATCAGACTGTTCAAATCTCCCTTATCCATCCAACTGTCCATTGCTTGTCGGTCTTTAACTAAGTACAGGAAGCCTGAGAGGTTGCTATCATGGATTTTGATGATGGAAAATTGTTATTACTAGTGCTTGAGAAGTGCTGGATGGGCAGTCCTCAAATTTCTTATACAATGTATAGGTTTCCTTTGGGCCTGTTATTGGTGTTGATTCAATTTTGGGAGTTATCACAAAAATCAAAATGACCGACTGGTACTGTCTTGGTTTTTTAAGTTAAAGACTGTTACTTCAATTTTAGTGTTCACTTAGTATTCTCACATATGTTGATTCCACCCTGTTCCTTGTTTAGAATGCTCAGTTTTGGAGCCAGCCAGAAAAGAAAAAGTTTAGCACGATTGTCCAACATCTTTTCCGTTTATATAATTTACAGGTACGAGGGATGGCGAGGTTTCTACAAGGGTCTGTTGCCAAGCTTGCTGAGAGTGACGCCTGCATGCTGTATCACATTTGTTGTGTATGAGAACATCATCTCCTATTACACAACAAAGACCAGCTGATGAAATCTGTTACTTACGAAGTTGTATACCTTGGCATCATAAGGACTTTATTCAGACATCTTGTAGTTTAATCAGTATTTGTTTAAATATCCCAGGGTATTATTTTATAAAACATGAACCAAAGGTTTTTCATTCAAAGATCAATCATATCACATTCAACAGAGTAACATATAAGGGGCAGAGCAAGCTCCCACGATCATCTGTAGAGTAAGGTATAGGGGGCAGAGCAAGCTCCCGCAATCATCTCTAGAATAATATATAGAGGGCAGAGCAAGCTCCAGCAATCACCTGTAGAGTAAGGTATAGGGGGCAGAGCAAGCTCCCGCAATCATCTCTAGAATAATATATAGGGGGCAGAGCAAGCTCCCGCGATCATCTGTAGTGTAAGGTATAGGGGCAGAGCAAGCTCCCGCGATCATCTGTAGAGTAAGGTATAGGGGGCAGAGCAAGCTCCCGCGATCATCTGTAGAGTAAGGTATAGGGGGCAGAGCAAGCTCCCGCGATCATCTGTAGAGTAAGGTATAGGGGGCAGAGCAAGCTCCAGCAATCATCTGTAGAGTAAGGTATAGGGGGCAGAGCAAGCTCCCGCAATCATCTCTAGAATAATATATAGAGGGCAGAGCAAGCTCCCGCGATCATCTGTAGAGTAAGGTATAGGGGGCAGAGCAAGCTCCCGCGATCATCTGTAGAGTAAGGTATAGGGGACAGAGCAAGCTCCCCCGATCATCTGTAGAGTAAGGTATAGGGAGGGAAGTAAGCTGCAGCAGTTGTCTGTTGAGTAAAGCATTTAGAAGAAAATGTCTTTCATTCTGAATTTTACTGATTTTTTCAGTATTTTTTAAGGATTTTTTTTTTGCTTCCTTAATTATTGTTCAGTTTGACAAGAAATAGAACCAACTTAAGCCTGTTGATTTTTTTTATTATTTGGAGGGTTTGTATGACCTTGTATGTAACTCAGATAAACATTCTGTTTTATTTTCTAACTATTAAGTCTTTATAATTCTGGATGCTTTGAATTGGAGTTTTTATGTTTTGGCTTTTTATTTTATTGTTTTGATGACAGATGGTTTTTATGATCCATGTCAAAGTTTGATATTTTTTATTAATTTTCATGTATCAATTTAATATACATAATACTCTTTGTGTTATTATACCTTTATATGAAAACAAAATGTTTTAAATGTAATTCAGAATATTTTATTTCATTAGGTCATCAGAACCCAATGTTCGTCGTATGTTGTGCATAAACTTTTTCTTTAAAATCCTAATCCTCTTTCATATCTTGGTAGATTCCAACAAATCTTGGTCTGATGTATCAGTGGGTGAGGTTTACCATCTACTAAACACAGAATTTTGATTAGACCTGTAGGGGTCGAGGGACAGGGCCCCAAAGTAAAGGTGCTGAAAGTAGCTTTGAAACCCAACTCTTCCTTTCTGCCTTGGTAAATTTCAACACACTTTGGCTTGATTCATCAATTTGAGTAGGCAATTATTTCTTGAACTCAAAAAGTTGATTTGATCCCAAGAAACTGAGGGGCAACAAATGGGGAAGTTAGTCAACATTTTGCTTCAAAAAGCTACTCTTCCTTAATGCTTAGATAAATGGCTTAATTCAAATTTTATCTGAAACATCAGTAGAGTTGGGCAAATAATTATTAATTCAGAAAGTTAATTTGGCCCTTAGGGACTTAAGGGTGGGGCCCCCAATGGGGAAGTTAGTCAATATTTTGCTTCAAAATGCTACTCTTCATTAATGCTTGAACAAATTTTCACCAAATGTGGTATGAAATATCATTGTGGGTATGTCATCATTTCTTAACTTAAGAAAATTGATTTGAACCCTAGGGAACTGGGGGGAGGCCCAAATGGGGAAGTTAGACAATCTTATGCTCCAAAATGCTACTCCTTCTGAATGCCTGGGTAGATTTCAACCAATTTGTCCTGAAGCGTTATTAGGGAGTGGCAATAATATTGAAATTTCTTGTGACAAAATTTAACACCTCTGTGTTACTGTGAATGCTTGGTGTTAGGGTATCAATGATGGATTACAAAAGCTACAGGCTATATGGGTACTCTCAGCACATTTAGAACTTCTAATTTACCTTTAAAAATTGTTACAGAACATTTCGATTACTTTATAAACAGCATCGCTGTACCATTTTTGTATTTTATATAATCTATAGCTACCATTGTTCCTTTACATTGTATAGTGTAACAAACTGTATTGTTATCATCACGTGATCAAGATAATGCGTTATTACGTCATGGCTGAACGGTAATTTTAAGCTTAGCTATGCCAATACTTGTACCGTTGTTCTGGTGACAGCCAATCTAGCCAGCCGAAACATGTCAACCTAATAAAACTACCGATCACGGAATCCTTGGTGTTGATGCTCCATCCTTTATTTAGTGGTTAGTACCTATCGTCTATGGAGCTCTGCTAGAATCCTTCAGATCCACCTAGGATTGTGTGTGTCAGAATAAATCTTCAGGTGTCTTGTCTGTAAAACAATCTGATCAGTGTGTGTCAGAATAAATCATCAGGTGTCTTGTCTGTCACACAATCTGACCAGTGTGTGTCAGAATAAATCATCAGGTGTCTTGTCTGTCACACAATCTGACCAGTGTGTGTCAGAATAAATCTTCAGGTGTCTTGTCTGTCAAGCAATCTGACCATTACATGTCAGAAAGATTGAATTAACACACACAAAAAACAAAAAAGGAGAGAAAAACATCCCAGACAAATTAAAATGCTTATTTATTAGAATTTCTGATTAATTAAACAGACTAGGATCAGCTCCATGATAAAAATACTGAAGGACATAATACTGTATATCAATTTTGTGTGATGTGCAATTGAACTACCTCACGAAAATTATTACCCCCCCCCCCCCCTGCCCCCATCCCCAAACCCCATCCACCCCCGCCAACCTCAAGTATGACAAAATAAATACATAGTATATCATTTTGTCATATCATATAAAACTAGGTATACATTTTTTTAGTTGAATTCTTTTTTTCATTCAAATTAATGTTTGTATGTTTGTAATTGAAATAATCTTTTTTAAATAACAGTGTCAATTGGTTTTTGCGTGCCTTTTATTTTTCATGAATAAAATATGATTTAAAGTAATTTATTGTTCAGTTATTTGAAAACTATATTTTCTTGTTTAAGTTATATGTTTGAATCACCACAGAACAGATTTATGGTGTTGTGAATTCAACATGATGTGATTTTGTTGAAGTCTTCAAGGGTTCAATGTATTCAACAATGCATTTCAGTAAAATCTTCAATAATTCTGAAAGTTCTGCTGTGTAATTTCAGTAAAATCTTCAATAATTCTGTCAGTTGTGCCGTGTAATTTCAGTAAAATCTTCAATAATTCTGTCAGTTGTGCCGTGTAATTTCAGTAAAATCTTCAATAATTCTGTCAGTTGTGCCGTGTAATTTCAGTAAAATCTTCAATAATTCTGAAAGTTCTGCTGTGTAATTTCAGTAAAATCTTCAATAATTCTGTCAGTTGTGCCGTGTAATTTCAGTAAACTCTTCAATAATTCTGTCAGTTGTGCTGTGTAATTTCAGTAAAATCTTCAATAATTCTGTCAGTTCTGCTGTGTAATTTCAGTAAAATCTTCAATAATTCTGTCAGTTGTGCCGTGTAATTTCAGTAAAATCTTCAATAATTCTGTCAGTTGTGCCGTGTAATTTCAGTAAAATCTTCAATAATTCTGTCAGTTGTGCCGTGTAATTTCAGTAAAATCTTCAATAATTCTGTCAGTTGTGCCGTGTAATTTCAGTAAAATCTTCAATAATTCTGTCAGTTGTGCCGTGTAATTTCAGTAAAATCTTCAATAATTCTGTCAGTTGTGCCGTGTAATTTCAGTAAAATCTTCAATAATTCTGTCAGTTGTGCCGTGTAATTTCAGTAAAATCTTCAATAATTCTGTCAGTTGTGCCGTGTAATTTCAGTAAAATCTTCAATAATTCTGTCAGTTGTGCCGTGTAATTTCAGTAAAATCTCCAATAATTCTGTCAGTTGTGCCGTGTAATTTCAGTAAAATCTTCAATAATTCTGTCAGTTGTGCCGTGTAATTTCAGTAAAATCTCCAATAATTCTGTCAGTTGTGCCGTGTAATTTCAGTAAAATCTTCAATAATTCTGTCAGTTGTGCCGTGTAATTTCAGTAAAATCTTCAATAATTCTGTCAGTTGTGCCGTGTAATTTCAGTAAAATCCTCAATAATTCTGAAAGTTCTGCTGTGTAATTTCAGTAAAATCTTCAATAATTCTGTCAGTTGTGCCGTGTAATTTCAGTAAAATCTTCAATAATTCTGTCAGTTGTGCCGTGTAATTTCAGTAAAATCTTCAATAATTCTGTCAGTTGTGCCGTGTAATTTCAGTAAAATCTTCAATAATTCTGTCAGTTGTGCCGTGTAATTTCAGTAAAATCTTCAATAATTCTGTCAGTTGTGCCGTGTAATTTCAGTAAAATCTTCAATAATTCTGTCAGTTGTGCCGTGTAATTTCAGTAAAATCTTCAATAATTCTGTCAGTTGTGCCGTGTAATTTCAGTAAAATCTTCAATAATTCTGTCAGTTGTGCCGTGTAATTTCAGTAGTCTTCAATAATTCTGTCAGTTGTGTCGTTTAATTTCAGTAAAATCTTCAATAATTCTGTCAGTTGTGCCATGTAATTTCAGTAAAATCTTCAATAATTCTGTCAGTTGTGCCGTGTAATTTCAGTAAAATCTCCAATAATTCTGTCAGTTGTGCCGTGTAATTTCAGTAAAATCTTCAATAATTCTGTCAGTTCTGCCGTGTAATTTCAGTAAAATCTTCAATAATTCTGTCAGTTGTGCCGTGTAATTTCAGTAAAATCTTCAATAATTCTGTCAGTTGTGCCGTGTAATTTCAGTAAAATCTTCAATAATTCTGTCAGTTGTGCCGTGTAATTTCAGTAAAATCTTCAATAATTCTGTCAGTTGTGCCGTGTAATTTCAGTAAAATCTTCAATAATTCTGTCAGTTGTGCCGTGTAATTTCAGTAAAATCTTCAATAATTCTGTCAGTTGTGCCGTGTAATTTCAGTAAAATCTTCAATAATTCTGTCAGTTGTGCAGTGTAATTTCAGTAAAATCTTCAATAATTCTGTCAGTTGTGCCGTGTAATTTCAGTAAAATCCTCAATAATTCTGAAAGTTTTGCTGTGTAATTTCAGTAAAATCCTCAATAATTCTGTCAGTTGTGCCGTGTAATTTCAGTAAAATCTTCAATAATTCTGTCAGTTGTGCCGTGTAATTTCAGTAAAATCTTCAATAATTCTGTCAGTTGTGCCGTGTAATTTCAGTAAAATCTTCAATAATTCTGTCAGTTGT